GTTATAAAAGCATTACTTTATATATATATATATAAAGTAAGAGAAACAGTGGGATATATATATATAAAGTTTTGACATCCAATAGTGAAAATTATGAATTCCAAAGAATGCACTCTTGAAAATTATCCATTAACTAGGGGAATCAGATTTGATATTTCTCACATGTATTTGATAATCATTGATGTGAATTTTAAGTACTAAAATGCATCAAAATGCAGGATTTTGGGTGCCGGACCCCCCTTACTTGGCTTCGATTATTTTCAGGATCTTTAGGAAAGGGACACTTTCATCTCTGAAAATAACACCACTGCACAACTACCAATTGTCAGATGTCGATCTTGACATATAAATCGTTGAGGAACTCAAAACCATTGGCTACAAAAACAAAGTCGAGCAAATAATTTCATTTAAAACAAAACAAAAAACACCCCATGTGAAAGTAACCGTTAAAAACATAGAAGACCACTTTTCTTCAAGAAACACTACACTGAACCTGATAAAACAGATATCACAGTGCTTTAACTTCCAAAAGCTTGGGCACAGCAAACTTTACTACAATGCTCCCCCTAAATTTGTTAGGTGCTCAGGCCCCCACGACATAGCCAAATGACCGACCTAGTTACCTGCACGCCTCTAAGTTGTTAGGTGCTCAGGCCGCAACAACATAGCCAAATGCCCAAACGAGCGTAAACAAGTTACCTGCGCAAAGTACCAGGGCACCAACATTGAAAGCTACAGAGTATGTCCTAAAAACACGCAAGTTGGGGATAGAGTTCTCTTTAGAACTAAAAAGACACAACTTCCACCAATGACACAAAACATGGAATTTCCACCTCTATCCCGACCACAATGTCAGCCACTGCTCGAAACACCTCCTGAATACACTAATATGCACAACACTACCACACTTCAGTTCCATCTAACCCAAATACACTATCGAGCATAACTCGCCTCTAACACCATGCTAAGTTCACTGTAAACCTTCTTTCAATGCTAGTAAAACTTAGCGTATTCCCATATTTCTCTACACGGGCTGAATGTTTAAAAGCTCTCTGCGTAATCGCCAGATGCAACTTTCCCTTACCCAACCTCATGCCACATCTCACTCAGAAGAACCCAATGCACTCAACATTCACAGACACAATAAAAATAATGCACCTTAACTGTCAAGGTGTCTTAGTCACCAAAAAATTTAAATATTTAACATAAACAAACAAGTAAATGCCAATATCTTGATAATTATCTGATTACCTTCACATTCAAATTAGATTACTAACCAGGATAACCTATCATTATCCATACACAAATAGGAACATCTGAAGTACCATAAAGCCTACTAGCTTACTTATAACATTCATGTTTAAATAGCTCTCTCCAATGTTAGTATTAATCTTCCTTCGTTTGTAGCTTACCCTGAAGTTACTGGATGTAATTTTTACAAAATGGGAGCTCTGTTCATCAAATGCCACTGGTCAAACAAGAGGTACTACCCAAGTAGTCTAGTCAACACTTGACTAGACAAGACTTCAAGCACAGCATGGACAAGTTAAACTGCAATTTACGGGTGATCTTGCAAAATTAAACGTAGATTGTGCTATAAACAGTAAGGGTAAACACACAATGAAAAAATGCAATAAACAAAGTACATCTTTTACACCTTAATAACAATAATTTGAATGTGTAATTTCAAGATAACATGTTTGTTGTACATAATGTACACTTTGTTTTTTGGAAAATGTTAATAGTTACTTAAAATACTTTATAAAAACTTTTTTGCAATAAAAACATTAGGTTTATGCATGCAAATATGTCACTTACAATACTGTCCTTTTCTGCTTATTTGATTTGATAAAACAGTGTGTTCCTCTAATGTTTAAAACCAATTATATTGTTAACAAAAAATTAACTTATAGGAACCTAAATAAAATTTTGAATCACTCAATGCTGTATTCCAGGCATTAAATCCTGAAGTTAAGTTATTTCATGATCTCGAGGAACTAAGAAACTTTGTTTCACAAAGTGTACTAACATTTTCAGAGAAAATTGCTCTGGTCATTAAGTGATGCTGAACTCAAAGAAAAATTTTAACAGGTCTTGAAATGTAGCAAAATAAGCAGTGATAAAAAAACTAATCATTCAGCAACACCTGCCTTGACTTTTTACCCGAGGCAATAAACTATATTGATAAAAGAATTAATAAGACAACAATGAAAATATGAAATATTCTAATCCTAATGTTTGCCTTAGCCAAAATACACCACAATTTAGTGATCTTCCCCTTAACTCATTAGCATGGGCATGGGACTAACCTCATGACCATTTTGTGCTTTTTATAGTTTTCATGCTATAAAATACGATGCATATCTTAACAAAATTTGGCAGATTTTCAGTAAACATTACAAGGCTTTCTTACACCAAATATAATTTTTTTTTTATTAAGTTTTAAGGTTTGTTAACCAATGTTTTTCTCGTGACTTTCTTTTCACATGTTGCCTATCCAACATGCAAAGTAGTTTTATACATCAGAAAATTTTCAAATTTCACAAGCAATATCTTTGTAATGTCCAGATACTTATCAAGTGTTTCTTAAAAAAAAAACAAAAAAAACTATTTTGTCTGTTATTTTCACTAACAAATCTCTGTACAGGTTCGGTAGATTTGACCGATCTTCCAACCACCATAAAAAATTAGGAAATAAATATAAATTATGTTTCTTTCATTCTAGAATAACAACAGATTATAACATGAAAATGTAAATGTTTAGAATAAATAGCTTAAATCTCGTAATATACATTTATATATTATTTTTATTATATTGACCTTTCACCTGTGCTTGGCTAATAATACAGAAGTTACAACGGCACAGCTCACATGCACTCATGTTACCGTATCAAACAACATAAATGTGACCTTCTGTCTGTACAAAGTAACCTGTCTTGGCTG